TTAAAATCAGTGGCGTAGCCAGGATTTTATCATGGGGGGGGGGGGGGGTTAAAAATTTTTCTAAACCTCCTTTTTTGAACACTTAATTGCTTATATTTTTGGATTTGTTAAAATTGTTTTATATTTTCATATAACAAAATTTTAGGCTATTTTATTATATATTTTACATTCCTTTATTTAATCATATATATATTTTTATTAATTAAAATATTTCAAAATATTTTATATAATACATATTTTAATATTAAAAATTATAATGTATAAAGACTCTATTTTAAAAAAAGTAATTTTTTATAATTATATAAAATATGTGTAATTCTTATGCAAATAATGGTATTTAAAAAAATATGATGATATTATCTTATAAATAATACTTTTTTTACAAAAAAAAAGTTGATTATATATTAAAACTAATAAAATCTTATTGCTATTTTTTGATTTGAATTTAAAAAGAGAGATCTACTTTTCTCAGAGATTTTGCTAATTTATCTAGAATCAAATTTTTACCTAAAATAATCTCCTAAACGTTTTTCACCGGTTGTGTTTCCTAAATAGGTTTTTAACCTTTTTAAAGTTGAAAAAGACCTTTCATTAATGCAGGTACTAATTGGCAAGGTCGTTAAAATTAATAATGTTTTGATATTAGGCAGGGAATCTAAAATGCAATTACACATGGAAAGGGCCTACAGAGCATTTTTTGGTCTCAAAGAATACCCTATTCTGTCAAGATTTTTATACCAAAATTTGACATCACAAAGTAACTTATCATATGAACCTACTAAATCATCAGCATAAAACTCTGAGATTTTTTTAATATCCTCTCGTGTTTCAAGTGTAATCAACAGTTTAGACTCAACCGGCAAAAGAAAATAAAAGCTTTGAAAATATAATTATGACTAATAAATCTTTCTTTTAATTGAAATAAAAATGTATCAATAAGGGGAATAAAAATGTTTATTTTATAAAAATCCTCAATCGTGGGTGCATCAATATTTGATCGATTGGATTGTCTAGAGACTACTCTAGGTTTAAAAATTTCAATTGCAAAGATATTAGCAATCTCCTTTACTTTTTCATATATTTCATAAAATTTTTCATCATCATTCTCTCTGATATTTGTTGATATTTCAACAATATCTTTGCTCTATTGATAATCTCCCTTAAATCCAAATCAATTTTTTGTAGCATTTTGCTAAAATCATATGTATAATTAAATAAAAAATAAACATATTGAATTGAAATTAAAAACTGTGGCTTAATAATAGCCTGCAAAAGATTTTCGGCATCTGCTGAATCTTTTTCCTTGCTTGATATATAAAATTCTAGTGCTGCAAAGACAACATCGTATATTTCAATAAAGAGTTTCACCAACTCTTGTCTTTCGATGAATCTGGTCGTACAAAATCTTTAGTTTTTTTTTTGATTTTTTAAGTCAATATCATGATACGTTTGAATAAATAACTTCCTTTTTTTGTGTGGTGTGAAATAACTGCAAACCAATAAATATAAAAATAATCAAATGTGTATATCTATTATTAATTATAATAAATTTAAAACATACAAATCAAGCGTTTATTAAGAATTTATTAAATTAAAATTAAAAAATTTTAAAAAATAAATTAAAAAAATAAAATTAATTTTTCATGGGGGGGGGGGGGGGGGTTGAACCCCCCCCCTTCATGCCTACGCCACTGATTAAAATTATATAACAAATTAAAATAAAATGTGATGACCAAACGATGTATTTATAATAATATATGTCATTATAAAGAATCGTTATAAATTTTATGATTTGTGACGAATCTTCTTGCTTGATCACTTTATAGATATGGAGTATGCTTTTTAATTATAATGACATTAATAAATCTTCTGTGCAGCTAAGTCATCAATCGCCAATCTCTTATAGTTTTTCCGTGAACGATGAACTATACTATATTCAGGTACATATGTCAGCGTCATCTGGCATTTTTTCAACTACAAATCATTTCTTGAGAACGCTTTATTAAATTTAAAAATCCGATTTTACCAGAAATGCATTCCAGTATATTTAGAATACCTACCCTGAATTTCAGACATGCCATGGACCTTGATTTTTAATATTAGTTTTTCCATAGATTTTTTATATAAATTATAAATGTCTCAAAGGTTAAGCATATGAGCCTACTAAATCATAAGCATAAAACTCTGAGATTTTCTTTAGACTCAATCGGCAAAAGAAAATAAAAGATTTTTAAAATCAAGTTATGACAAATAAATCTTTCCTTTATTGGAATAAAAATGTATTAAGGGGAATAAAAATGTTTATTTTATAAAAATCCTTAATCGTAGAGATGCATCAATATTTGAGCGATTGGATTCTCTATAAACTACTCTAGGTTTAAACATTTCAATCCCAACCATATTAGCAATCTCCTTTACTTTCTCATATATTTTATGAAATTTTTTATCCATATTCTCTATGATATTTGTAAATATTTCAACAATATCCTTTGCTCTATTTATAACCTCCCTTAAATCCAAATCAATTTTTTGTAGCATTTTGCTAAAATCATATGTATAATTAAATAAAAAATAAACACATTGAATTGTTATTAAAAATTCTGGCTTAATAATAGCCTGTAAAAGATTCTCAACATCTGCTTAATCTATTTATTTATTTTTAATTTTCAACTCCCCCCCCCCTCCCCCTCATGCCTACGCTACTGGGATAATAGCATATTTGTCCACAATTCATAAGATAGGTATTCTCAACATAATGGAATATATTCTGGTAAAATTAGATTTTTAAAAAACGACTCAAAAATTGATTTAAAGTTGAAAACATAACACATTGCCGCTAAAATATTAACTGAAAGTAAATATCTTTAAATTTTATAAAGATATATGCGTCAATCAGAGCCTTATAAGTTCAAATTTCAAAATTATATATTGTAGTTTCTGAATCTCATATTTTTTAATTATAATGAGAATGCATAAAATGTTTTAATAAAAATTTACCTTATTAAAAAGATAAAAAGAGGTTTAATAAAGTATGGCTCTTATTTCATCGATCAGAGTGCAACTGAATCTCTAAAAAAAATTCATTAAATAAGCATTCATAAGAAATATTGATCTCTCAGAATTATTACTTAACGTTCAAATAACAAACTGAATTTCTAAAATGATATGCTCAAACCCAAAAAATTTTTACATTTTCATTTGTACAAAACAAGCATGCCCTTCTAATACATTTGCATGTCCAAAAATAGGCTAAGCCCTAAAAAGAATAAAACATCTGCAATTTTATATTTCTTTTGAGGAAATTCAAAGATATAAATCAGGAGAAAATCAAAATTTTTCTATATTTTAAGGAGGGACCCTGATTAAACGCACATTACATCCCCGTTCAGTTCCAGTTCCGGGTTCCGTTCCACGTTTAGGAATGTTCCAAAACGTGTTCTAAGAAAACATATAACTTTTTTTCAAAAAATATTTTCAATTAATTTTTTTCGTTTTGGGGAGGGGGGTTGTCCCATATGTTTTATATTATAGTACTAATTTTATAACAGATAAAATATATATAAATTAAATGAACAATATTTAAAATTTAATTCTTTTCATTATATTCAAAAATATAATAGTAAAATATTATTAAAGACATTATAACACTATTTGAACTAATATATATTTTAAAAAGTATAAAAAACTAGAAAGAAATAATTGTCAAAAAAAGCTTATAAAAAACTAGAAAGTGTTAATTTTTTAAAAAAAACTTATAATCTCGAGATATATTTAATTTTAGCTACATCCTTGGCTCTGCAATATATCCTTATCCCCTCCCCTGTTTATTAATATTTCAATTTATAATATATATTTCTTAACATATATTTATTATTCTCTTAAAAAAGTTCTTCCATATAAGTATTGATATATTTTAAATATATATTTTTTAAGCGTTTTGAATATTTGAAATTGAAATATTATTAAATTTGCTTTATTGATATGGCTAACCTTTGTCAAATTTCTCCCAATTATTGATCTTTTAACCCATGTGATTAAAGATGAAATCTTTGTTCTCGGGTCACTAATAATAGGATCTATAGGCATCCAAACATTTTTGGAACACAATCTGATTAATCTATATTTAAAAGAAAATATTCTTAAGCATTTGACTTTCTAATATTCCCAAAATACAATTCTACGTCAGATCATTAGGCGCATATTTAAGAGAGATCGGGACTATACGACAGGTGTTTTGCGCTTTTATGATAAAGTTTTAATTTTGTTTTGGTGGTTGTATCATTGAGTAGTCATATCATTGGGTAGCCACATCATTAGACTACAAAATAAAAAAAACGGGGTTTTCTACCTATTATACTATAAACTATCTAAGGTTAAGTAAAAGTAGATCTTTTTACTATTCACCTACGACAATCCTAGGTGAGATGGGGAGACCATTTGGGTAAACTAGTAAATAAAGATTCAAAACAAATTTTCAATATTTGTTGTCGGATAGTTGGAAAAGCTTCTTGGGGTTCTATGGTTATGGTTAGTTTACAGATTTGGGAGTATAGATTTTTAAAGAAAGATAGGTGGTAGATATGATTGGTATGAAAATCTGATCATCGGAAATTTCTGAATATTTCGCAATTTTCTTCTATTTAGTTCAAAATATTAAAGGTTTGGTTTGAAGGAGCCAGCGGATCAATACAATAATAGTCTCATACAAGATATTAGCCCCTCTTCCATGATTGAGTAATCCGATCGGGTACCTTCTTCAAAAAAAAATCAAGATGTTCTATTATTGAAGATATGCAATGATTTCAAGGTTCCTTAGATAATAGAGTTACATGGATACTTCTAATGAATCTGCTATTGCATGATCGGTGTAGTCTATGTTTTTTGCTTTGTGTCTACAACTAAGTTTCAGCCTGAGCAAGTATGGGGATGTGTGATAGCATAGTTGTCGAATCCTATGGCATACGTTAATTGTTGGAGAGTTGTATTTGCAGATTGACTTATGAAATGCATGAGGTCCAGTGCATTGATCGAGGAAGTGAATAGGATGCTGTCGGTAGATTGCAAACTGGATAAGAGCGTTTTGACGCAGCGACATACTACAGGCAGATCCCAATCCTTCTGTCTATTGATTGTGGACTACTGAAAATCAGTTTTGATTGAACCGAGTTTTCCACAACTGTATGGCCTTAATAAAGGAAGGGTTTTACATGAGATGCGTGGGGATTAGTTAATCTGTTTAGATGAAAGGCTGATGAAGGATGTTATAACTAGGTCGATATTATCTTAAATTTTATTATAATTTTTTTTTAAATAATCTTAAAACATAATAATATACGTAATAAAAAGTATTATATATAGAAACTGGAATTTAAAAAAAGAAAAATGAATATTTAAAATTTTACATATTTCTAGTTCTGATAACGTTCCATTATTTTTCCTAAGCTCCGTTCCCTGAATGTGGGAACTTCCGTTCAAATATCTGATTTTAATTTTAACCATCTTCTATAGATTTAGATTGTTTAAAAAGTCAAATGAAAAAAGCCTCCCCCCTTTGAATGATCATGAATAAGCTTGATTTTTATTCATTTAGTACCTATAATGTTACAAGAAAAATTATTTTACCTTTATAGAAAAGACATTATATTGAAAGAATAATTCATAATGGGTTTAGACTGTATATATAATAAGATTTGGTTAGTCTAAAAAAAAAATTTCTCCCATGAAGTAATGGAAATTAGCGCTTATTTCAAACTACTTCTAAAGTTTTGCAATACATCTTCTTATTCGGTCCAGTCCCAAGTTGAATTATTTTCTAGTGGAGTAAAGAAAATTGCACTATCAATTTTAAACTGTCCCACATAGTTTTGATATTGTTCTCTACAAATTTTACCAGGTCCAAAACCAAGTTGTCTAAAATCTTCGCATTTTCCCTTTGTGGAGAAGATGGGCACGATTTTTCTTAAACGATTCCCAAAGAGTTTGTAATACTGTTCTATTACCAAAGCTTTTTATCCAGTCAAAAATGTTTAAAAATGTTTAACATTTTAAAAGCACTTTAGCGCCAACTTCCGTTGAAAAATGTTAATGCAACTAAAATTAACCATATTACATATTATTTTTTGGATATAATCTAAAACGTCAATCGAATTTATACAAATAATTTTTAAACAAAGATGATAACATATTACTAATAAAAATTATTAATCTTTCTTAATATATTTTTATAATATTAAATTAAGAACCATTCATATAATAAAACATTTTTTCGATAAACCTATAATCATTTTTGGTGATAAATTCATAGACATTATACTTAAGACCAAAAACATCAAAAAATTTAATTCGGAAACTTTTAAAACTTTATTGACGGGAAAATAAAAATGTGTATAAAACATTTTTTTTTTAAAGTTTTGTAAAAATAATTACATAACAGCTTACTATTTCTTTAATAAATTTTTTTTTAAACTCATTCCTTTTTTAGAGAATATTTGTATTATATGTACACATCATTCTCATTATTATTTCAGGGATCCGGAAAAAGAGCATTTTTGCAATCTTATTCTATTCCGGGGAAAAAATAGGTTTTATTCTCTTCCAGTTCCATATTTCGAAACGTTCCGGAACGCGTTTCTATATTTATACTTTATTATATATTAATACCAATTAATTAAAACATTTTCTAAAAAAATTACTTTTTTATATTTATGTTGTGGTGTTAATATAAATTTGATTGTCAAAAAACACCTTCTAAGTCTCAAATTAACTAGATAACAATATATTCATTGAAATTTAAAGATTTTATTATACTATTCAAATATTAATTAATAATAATAAAACATTTATTATAATTAGTTCAATTATGATTTAAAAAATTTTATTTTATAATCTTAATTCCTACAATCATATAATAATACTATTATGTGATGAAGTAAATTGGAATTAAGAAAACAAGAATATAATATTTATAAATGAGCCCTCATATATAATTATGTAATAAATTTAATTTTTAATATTCTATTTAGGAACGTTCTCAAAAGTGTCCGGAGTCCCTAAATTATACAATATTTGGCTATTTTTTACCTGAGATATATAAATAAAATTACATTAGAGATCTGCAGGCCTAAATTATTTTAAAAATTCAGGCCCGGCCAGATGGTTTAAATTTTGAAATAAAATTGATATATTTTTAAATTTTTTCCAGAAACAAAGCACCAATATTTTTTTTTATTTGTTTATAAAATGATTAAAAACTCGATTACTTCAATGTAAAAATGTATGTTAGGGGCAATGTGTTTTTTCGGGCAATGTGTTATTTTTTTAACTTTAAATTATTTTTTGAGGCCACTTTGCAAATTTAAAATCGGATTCTACTGAAAATGTATTTCATCATGTTTGGAATACCCACCTTTAAATTTAAATAATTTGCCAAGAACCTCTAAACTTAATATAATTTAAAATATTCGTTTTCCATAAATTTTTCATATAAATTATAAATTACTCAAAACTTAACAGTAAATCTATCTATGATTCATAAGACAGGTATTCGAAGCATGTTGGAATACATTTCCGGTAAAATCCAATTTTAGAATTTAAAAAAAAAGTGCTCAAGAAATGATTTAAAGTTGAAAAAATGACACATTGCCGGAAAAAACACATAGCCTTTACATAAAAAATTACTATATTTAGATAAAATTTGTCCAGGCCTGGCAGGCGAATAATTTTTTATCTTATTTCGGGTCAGGCTTTTCGGGGCAAATAAAAATTCGAAGCTGAAAAATTAGGTCCGCTGATGACTAATGTAAATTAAAAATCTTTATAAATTAAAATTTTTTTTGTTATCCTTAAACTTTCAAAACTTTTGAAACAAATTTTGCATAGGACACCTACCAGAACGGAGGCGCAACAAGTTATTTTTATCCGGGGAGTTAATAAAATTTAAATCAATTTATTTTATTGAAACGTATTTGATACCAGTAAATGTGGTGTTGCCAAATTTCTTCAATTCAACCCCCTCCCCAATACTAAGTTTATGCATCATAAAAATTTATATCTGTATAAGAGATAAGAGTCCATTAGTAATAGCATTATCTAAGGGGCAGAGTCCTTGAATTTAAATTAACTTTTTTGCTCATTACACAAGTCATCGTTTTCGTGATAAAATTTATATTTAAAAAAAGGGTTATCTTGAAGATGCTAGAGAAACTGCTAAAGAAACCTCTTCCCATAACAATTATCATATTTTATTTAATTAGGGGGGGGGGGTATTCGTTATCTTGACTTAGTCATTCCTAAGTCCATATATAACTAGGATATATTATTAGAAATATTAATATCGCTTAACTATTGTGATAGAAATAGTATGATAGTTTCTAAAATGGTTAATAATAATTAAATGATGTTTCTAATCAATTGACTATAAATATGTAAATAATAATTATACTATATACCATGTCATATTAATTATGATTGATTTATTATATAAAACATCTCATCATTTATCTTTTCCGCAAATGGCACAAAGATTTCATTTTTCGTTAAATTAACTTTTTTTTACTGTTAGTTTATATATTTTTTAAATAAAAAGTTAGTTCCGTTCTATAATTTTTTTTGAAAAATAAATGCCAGAACACCTAACCTTAACCAAATATAATCATCATAAAAACTTATGTAACTATATAGGATAATAAAAAAATTTCTGTCGGAAACGTATGGTTAATTATTATTTATATTTTATATATTTATTGTATTATTTAAAATAAAATATCAGTTAATAGGTTTCAAGTTCAAAATCAATGATGGTTCAAATGTTTTATATATTATATAAATTTGATAATATTTTTTCAGCATTACTAAAGTATGCATAATCAAGCAAAATAATATAAAATGACTCAAAAAATTATTAAACTAAAAATGGAAAATGGAAAAAAAATAGAGAAAAGCACACAAAATAACGGAAAATCAGGTAAACAAAAAAAAATAATGTAAAATTATAGAAAAAGCAAAATGACGGTATATTGAAGCCAAACAGGCAAAATAATGCAAAATTAAGGAAAGGTACACAAAATAACACTGAAAGTATATAAAATTTCAGAAAAGCAGACAAAATATAGAAAATTTTTAGTTTAAATGTCTTTTTGATTTGAATTAAAACTTTCAGCACTTTTATTAATTTTTCATTTATTCGCTTTATTATTCATTTTACTTAATTTTTTTTCCTTTTTCCATTTTCCATTTTTTTCAATTTTAATTAAATATTTTTCTAAATTTTTGAGATTTCTTTCCTTTTTACCTCATTTAATTAACCTTTTTGGATTTTCATTCATTTGAACTTGATTTTTAAGTATTTTTATCATTCTTTTCTCCCTATGAAAATAGGTAATTAAAAAAGAGTTTTTAAAATAATTCTATTAATAAAATCCACTCCTTAATTTTCTATTTCATTAAAATCTTCTCCAAAATTTCTTCTCTATTTAAAAAATTGCGTGAAAAAATTGTAACAATCTAAGAATTAGAGGTGGGCGCGGGCCGTGAAATTACGCGTGACCCATCGTGTCACGGTGGATCACGGCGTAATTGTGAATAAATTTTAAATTATTAGGCGTGACGGGCCTTCCCAATATTTTTGATCGGACGTGAACATAAATTTCCCTTGAATCACGGAAATTTTAATCTTTTAGTTTTTTATAAATATAAATTTGCAATTTTATAATTATAATACATATTTTCTAATTTAATTTAGTTCTTTTTTAAAAAAGAAAAATTTTATGAAAACAAAAAATATTCCGGCATTTAATAAACAACATCTGGTGTCACGCTCCTAATTCTATTTTCTTTTTATGTTTAGGTGTTTTGTCGCGAGATTTTTTACTTATTTATTCTCAAGCACTCAAAGTAGGCTTAATTCTAGATCCTAATTTCAAAAGCCTTAAGTTTTTAATAGACGAAGAAAAGGAAGATATTTGCAAAACAATTTTAAAATGTGAAATGATATAAAAGTAGTTGATATGCATAAGTCAATGCCAGCTGTCATTTATAACTTTCCTAATTAATCCTACATTCATAAAAAGCCATATATTCTAAACGCATATTTTTTTTTCCGGTCATGGGTTACTTTATTTGAATATTTACTGGTATGATGTCAAAATGTATTAGCAAATAATTAATTTTTTAAAAAGGTAAAATATAAAGGTGAAAAATTGTAGAAATAGAATTTACGGGAAGGATAGGGGATAAAGAAAAGGAAGCTTGGGAAATGGAAGGTTATTCAATGGAAGAGATGAAGCTTAGATAGTTAGAACGAATGATGGCGGTAGCAAGTCTTTGGCGTAAGAAAAAGGATTCCTTAGGCTGGTCGGTTTTTTCGCGGATCGGTTTGCCTAAATCTTTGAAAAAACGTTGAGCTTTGCTACCGAAGGTGGTGAGAATGGTGCAGGCGATTAGATGATTCTGATGAAGCTTCAACATCTACCGATGAAAGCTGTCTGAATTTAAAAGATTCATCCCATAAAACAAATAACAATGACAATATTTTGAAGTTTTGGAAGCAGGAAAATTTATTTCCTTTTTTGAGAAAATTAGAGAATAAAATTTTGTCAGCCCTGGCAAATTCAGTTTCTAGTGATATTTTCTGTAGCCACTCGCCTATTAGAGGAAAGGCGTACACAATCGAAATAAAAAAAAATAGACATTCTTCTTTTTCTAAGTAAAAATTTGGATTTATAATATGTATTTATTTTTTGTTATTATGGATTATACAATTAAAGAAATAAATATAATAAATAAAAGTGTAAAAAATTATAGCATTAAAGTTTTGAAAAATTTAAACACCGTGAATTTTCGGGCGTGAATCAAAATATTGCCGAGCGGGCGGGTCGGGTTGAAATTTTTTTAGTGATAAGCGTGAATGGGCTTGAATATTTTTTATTGCCACCGTGAGCGGGCGGGACGGGAATAAGAAATTAGGCCCGCGCCCACCTCTACTACGAATAAACAATATTATAAATGGGGACTTTAATATTTTTAATTTTTTATTATTATTTATATTAAAAAATATAAAAATAGGCCGCTTCCCGGCGCTATAAGTATTACTTTACTAAACAATCGCCTTAGTTATTAAAGGTAATCAAATAATATATTGTAATTGTTTTCAATTTCCTCGTAACCAATCCATCTTATTTGACGTGTGACGTTATAGTGTTCATTTTATAACTTGGTTTTTTTTATGGTTCGCAAACTGATTGAGGAATTAATGAATAATAGCCAGACTTGAAAGAGAGCCAAATGGCCAAAAAATTTTATATAATCCCTACTTTGATAAATCCTGGCTACTTAATTGAAATTATATTAGAATCTAGATTTAGACAACATAGTTGATAAATTAATATGATTCATTAGGAATTTTGGCAAATTGACAGCACCTATCATATTTAATGTAATATTTTCAGATTTGTTAAAGTATTTGAATATAGAAATATGGTATTGGTATCTGATGTACCTTTATAAAAAGTATCTCTATCTAGATACAGATCGGAGGTATCTGTTGGTATTTTTAGATAATTTTAGATACATTTTGATATATTTTACTTTCTTATATTTAGATTAATGATATTCATTTAATAAATCCGAGTTTATTTAATTTCATTACAAAAATAAACCTGACAAATTTTATATTATACACTGACGACAACGTGATAAGTATTATATTAAAATTAATTTTAATTTTAAATATATATCATAATTTTAAATCAATATTTCTAGATAATATCTGAAAAGAAATGCAATAATTTAATATTCGATTTTTTGGGCACCTTTTAGATGATATAAATAATGATATAAGTTTTGACAATCATCAAATTTTAAATATTTTTTTTAAAGAGAGTATCGGGATTTATATATATTTAATGATTACCAATATGTTATTATTCGTAAAACAATCACTCTGCCAACAAGTGCCTAGGAAGAAAGAGTTTAGTGTGGCTAAAAATGCCCAGATAAACGGGAGTGCCTTAATAATAAAAATACAAATCTATCAATTTAAGCATTTATTATATATTTTGTATATCAAATATTAAAACTATCTTTATTTTAACCCGCTCAATCAATAAATTAAGTAATACACATCTTCTATAGGTATAAAAACAATTGAAATATCTTTATCTAGATACTATTTAAATGTATTGGTATCTAGATCCATTTAACAACTATTTTTAACAACTATGAAAATTTTAAATAACTTTTTCATAATATAAGTCTATATGAATATATTTTTGTGGTAGTTAAATTTAATAAAACTGTCAATTTGATCAAATGCCACTTTGCATATATATTAATTTGATTGACATTAATTTTCCTACTTATCCTAGTCCAATGTGCCCCCAGCTTTTACGTTGACAACGGATGAAATAAGAATACAATGAAACTCACATTGATAATAAAGGGTTTAAGATTTCATTTGTATTATTATATATGGTGTTTAATCTTATAAACTAAACAAAACATCAGGGCCGTAGCCACGGGGGGGGGCCCAAAAAAAATTTGAAATTTTTTTTAGAATTGATTATTTTTATATTTTTAATATAAATTTTGAATATTTATTCAAAAATATTCAAAAAACATGTCTATTTAGAATTGATTATTTTTATATTTTTAAAATAAATTTTGAATATTTATTCTACAAACATGTCTAGTTTGTAAATTTTTTTCTATCCAGTTTTATTTTTATTTTTACCCAATATTAAATTATCGTTCATTCATTTTTTTTTCCATTTGTTTTTGTTGTGTATAACATTCTCTATAGGTATCACATTTATATTATAATATATAACCAGTTATTTTATTTTACAGCGTTTATTTTAAAATTATGAAGAAACAATCAGTTATTAACTCTTATTTTAAGTTAAAGTTAAACAAATGTCAAGCAACATCACTTCTACAAACTACTAGTAATACTACATCAGAAATTTCAGAAACTGATTAGACCGATTTACAGAAGATGATTTTAATCTTTTTTCATCTTTTAATACATTGCCCCCCCCCCCTTGACCCTGATTATTTTTTATCAGATAAAATGGCTCCATTGGAAACACTGCATCATGAAATGAAGATAGCAAAAGGATTGCTAGCTTCGGAAGCTAAAGAAAATATAATTTTGAAAATATCTTACATATTATGTATAAAAAAAAATATAATCATGCATTTAAAGAATTATATAAATGCTACTCAGCAGCAATAAACGGGAGGCCTCGTTCTCTACATTAAAGAGAGTTTTATCGAGCAGTAGAGAGTCTATGAAGGATAAACGTAAACAAAATTTAGTATTAATGGCGTATGAAAAAAGAATAACGCAGAATTTATCTTTTAGTTCATTTATATTAAAATTTAAAAATAAAAATCGCCGTATTCTATTAAAGTAATATTTTGTTTTGTATATGCATATTATAGTATTATTTTGTTTTGTATATTCATATTATAGTATTATTTTGTTATTAAATTTTTTAAAAAAATAGGAAAAAATTTCTATGAATGCGTAATTATTTGTTTGATTTTAAAAAAAATAGTGCCCCCCCCCCCTCCAAGTAAGCACTTGGCCCTCCTAAGTGAAAATTCCTGGCTACGGCCCTGCAAAACATAAAACTTTAATGCTGGCTTAAGTCAAATATATATTGTCAAAAGTGTTTATAATTAGGTGTATATCATAATTATCTATCATAGGAATGAATTTCAAACCTTAGATTTAATTAGTTTGGCTGCTTATGCAGTAAATTTAGGCAATTACTATGTTTTCAAGCCGTTTAAACCAATTTTTAGCTGGCGAAATAATCGACTAAACATAAATAAATGTAAATTAAAATATATATGAGATAAGAGGTAGGAATCAGTGATATTTTTTAAAAAAAATTTTAGCCAGCATCTGAATTTTTTCGCTTTAGCTGCGAACACTCCTACCAACTATGAAAATGTATCAGAATAAATGTCTAAAGGCTCGATGATAATTAAAATGAAAATATAATTTATGGAAACTTGAGATATATATTTCTTGCTAATCATTTTTTACCCAACTTACATTTTAATTATATTAAAATTATTTATTATGATTTTTATATGCAATATGCTATACTTTTTTTTAAAATCAATCCCCTTCTTTTTACTCATTATACATTTTATTAACCTGTGCAATTTATATTTGTCGCGATATTTAAACATTTTACTACTTAGAAATAAAGTCACAATATTAATTAGTGCTAATAAAAATAACGAGATTTTAAATAAAACTCAATATTAAATAAATTTATAATTTTTATTGAATCATTGTGAATTATTTGCATATTAATTAATAAATATTTGATATAATTATTAAAATAAAGTTCGAAATAAAATTTTAAGCCAAAAAAGCTGCCGCAATTTTTTTTTAAACTTTGGCCGCCTCCCACTAAAAAAAATGTTGGTTATGCCATATGAGTCAGACATATCAATTCGCAGTCCGAAAAATCGAATGCGTTCTGGGTTTTTCATAGTGTTTGGCTACTATCCTTTATATTTATAAAGCCAGCCCATGCTATTCATGGGGGGGGGGGGTACATCATAAAAAAATTCCAAGGAGTCATCATAACTTGGACAAATTAATTAAGAATTTTTTACCAGGCCTTCTCACATTTATCCATGGAGACAACTGTTGCCTTATCTCTTCAACGAGGACATCAATTATCGTTTATCTATCCCGGCATCTTTAATATTGATCAGTCCAGGCGGGTATCTATTATTATTTTTTTGATCTGTTGAATTAACCCTAAAAAATTATTCTTAATTACAAATGTTCCTAGAATGCGATGTTTAGTTTGAGTGAAATAATAAATTCGAGCTCATAATAAAACAACTATTTATTTGCATTGTATCTATGGCTTTTTAAGCTGACGGGAGCACAAACCCATTACATCATTATATCTCACGGGGGTATTTCATTTGGCACCCTCTTAACAAACATACATAATCAGAATTCATTCTATAAATCAATTATATATTTTAGACATCAGAGAGGCTTGGCATTATTGACTTAGGGGGGGTCTAGAGAGGTCTTACAACTGCTAAAACTTCCTAAACTTAAATATACCAGAGGCCAAATGATAAGCACATTTCTTGCATAATATATAATATAATTTTGATATTTAATATATTATCATCTTCACATATTGTACGTATTCATTTCGCTCAAACACCATCATAATAATTTTCCAGACACCCTGTCATAAATTTATTAAAACAACAAAATGAAGTTTCCGTTTTTCCCGAACCTCTAGTAACGTCCTTTAACAGTTCCTACTCTAATCCCTTATTGGTTATATCGGATTTCCATTATCTCTCCTAATCTCCTTATCACACTTTTCCACACTCTCATCACACGAATTAATAACTTAACTCCTCTTTAGTTATTAAAATCAATCGCATCATGCAACAGATAAGTATTTTTCTCTATTAAAATTTAATATCGGTCCAACCGCTTTATCATACGGTGTTCTCCGCATTGCTTCTCTTACTCCTTGCTTCTTTTAAAATTTTAATAGCAAATTTCTGTCTTTATAATGGTTACAGCGCTTACCTACCCTTTAATTCTCCATTTATAAATTCCTTACCTATTAAATAATTTTTTCTGTTAAAAATTTAGGCTAAAACATACGAGTATGTTCAATGTAAGCTTTTGATATGTAGTTTAGGTGTATGTAAATCCACTTTCCATTAGTATTATTAAAGAAAATATTTTATAAATATATTTTATCTTTCAATTCAACTCTGGGATAAGTCAAAATATTTGATTAAATAGAATCGAATTAGGAAAGAATGCTAAAATCTTATATACTCTTTTATTCTCTTAATAACCTTTCAAGAAGAAAAAAAGTTTATGAGAAAGTAGATGCCAGAAAAAATAAATTGATCATTTAAAACAATGATTTCAAATTATTTTAAGAGTTGGTTTTTTTTTAAAATAAAATAATCGTCTTATTTTTATTTTGCAGGAAATAAAAAAATTTTTTATTGATAAGTTATGAATTATGAATTTGATAACTTTAATATTGCATTTTTTTTATGTATATAGTCTTAATTAACGACTCAAGAAAAAAAATAGAAATAATGATTCAAAATAATAATGTTATTATACCATCCTAAGGTGATTCCGATATCAACCGACGAGTTCTAATATAAAAAAAAAATTTGGAAGATATGAAAAATAATCTGTGATCTATTATAATAATAAAATATTTTTTGAAAAAATGGTCAACGACTCACTATAAAAAAAAACTTCCTAAATTTTTTTTTAGATAAAAAGGTAAAAAAATTGTTACTATAGAAATTCTAGAATCTAAATGGAATATTACAATTATAAGCAAATATTACAAATTCAAAAAACACCTCATATATTATGATTAAGATTATGAATAAAAGTATAATTTTCGTTTTTTTGTGTTTTTTTTTCTTCAAATTACAGATGCTTATCGATAATGCTCGGAAATATAAAGATAACAAATACAATAATCAATCTAATAAGAGATTGCGAACAGCTTACACTAACCTCCAACTTATCGAATTGGAAAAAGAATTTAGATTTAACAAATACCTGTGCAGACCAAGAAGGGTAGAGATTGCTAGTTCACTCTTATTGAGCGAAAGACAAGTTAAGGTTTGGTTCCAAAATCGAAGAATGAAATACAAACGAGAAATGGAAGGTATATATGATTTTAAATTTGTAATTAATATTTCTTTATTATAAATAGAAAATAAGGATGGAGATATATTACCTTTAACTAATCAATGCAACGAAAGTTGCCATAGACATAAACCGATCGATTACAGTTTTGATGATATAGTAGTTAAATCTCCGGATAGTAGTAGTAAAACATATAATAATAAATCAGAGAATTATACGGCCAACGATGCCATAAACAACTTGACACATCTATTAAATAAGGACGACGAATACAAAGAGTATGAAGAGGCTTTAAACACAAATGAATCATCCCTGGAGAACAATTTCTTTAATTCCACTGGCTATTCGTTGATACCGTCGCAGCCATTAACTCCTACCAATTTGAATACTAAAATTGAAAATCTAAACCCTCAACTAACCGATCAAGTTGATAAAATATTTCCTCTTAATTTCACCTATTATATGAAGGAGAATGAAAACGATAATAATAATAGTAATATTCCTGAAAATATTGATTTTACCACTTTAAGATGCAAAAATTACAGTCTAGGCTATAATGACTCACTGGTGTCTTTAATAAGCCTAGATTCTACTCCAACTACTAACTATAATATATGTCCAGATCAGACATGCACAAATAATTCATATTCATGCTTTAACAATTCCAAAGCTCCTCTAGCCTATTCGAATGCCTTAACACAATCATCCGCTTCTATATTTAACTCCAATTTTCACATTTTCGAATTTGATCCAAAATACGAAAAAACATCGCCACATATTAATTCACTATTAAATTATCCTTTAAATAAAGTGATGACTGATTCCTATAGCGATAAAAATTTTAACTTTGAAAGTTCAGAAGTCGCTTTTGCGGAATTCAATAAAAATTATCCCCATAATACCGATTATAGCCATGCAATGGATGGTGGAGAATTTTATTTTCATTCTAATCAACATAGACGTAACTTCAATGATGAGCATTATAATAATCATATTAAGAATGAGAATACGGCTTTTTTTAAGGAACTTAATAAATCATACATGACTTCTGTGAATGACAATAGCGTAAATTTGGCCATGCCTTCTCTAAACGATTCTTCTGACTTAATATTACCAAGTTTTAGCGAATTAATTAATTATAATCATTAAAGCGGTTTTAAAAATATTCGGTATTTTATTAAATTATTAGATTTATTTTATTAAAACTACCAAAGATGCAAACATTTTTAATGCAATTTTATTTTTTATAATATATATATGTTTATATTCGTCAAATATTAGATTTTTAAATTTATCACGATAACATTGATGACTTCACCTCTAATATACCGAATAAATTTATTATATTACATGTATGAAGGTCATCAATCCCAATTACTAATTTAACTCATTTAGATCAATTTTAAATTATAAAAAATTATACATAACTTAAACCCATCATAATTATTGAGAATTTTTAATAAATTTAAAAAAAATGGATATATTTATAAATATAAATGGTATAAATAATATTAAATATTGAGAATAGAAATAGAATGTTAAATGTCTCTCAAATTTTACTCTGGTTTATGAAATTCATAAAATATTTAATTTAGGGAAGGCACTTAAATGAACAGTAAACTGTGCTCAAATTAGACATAATTGATCATTTAAAATATAATTCTAGAGAATTTCATTCGGGTGAAAAAATTTTGATTGCTATTTCAGATTTGATAGATTTTACCTGTATTTTTTTACATAATTTTAACTAAAACAAAAGCAACTCTGAGAATTAATATATTTTTTAAAAAAAATTATTTCGGATAATAATAAAGAAGTACAAAATATATATAATTTTTTTCTAAATCAATGACCTTAAATAGTTTTTGTATTTTCATTTTGTTGATATAGTATTTATATATATAAATCCCATCTTTCTTTTACGCCAAAGCTGAATTAGAAATGAAAGTAAAATTTTTACGAATTTTTATCAAATATTTAAATATATCCCTCTAAAACATTTATATTTTCTAAATAATCTTCTTTTTAAAAAAAAAATTGCTTGCAAAAAAATATAAAAAGTGTGAAAAGGGGAGATTATTGATCTTTCGAGGAAATGTCATCAACATACATAATTTTATTTTTTATAATATTGACAAATATCATCAAAAAATAGCTAAATATTACTTTAAAAATAAATACATAAAACAATTCCTTGTTAAATATTCATTTTGAGTGAAGATAGTTTTTTAAAAAAAAAGGAGGTTTCATTTATTTAATTTGATCATCATTCGAATTAAAATATTGCATAAATTTTTTAGAATTTTTCTAGGTGGGGATGTGGGAGTTTAGGTGAGTTTTGTTCACTTATTTAAGGGCTTTATGCCACATCTAATGTAGGTCTTAGCCGAATCACATTTAAAAAATAAATAATTTAACTTATTTTTTTAAATTAATTTGTAAAGATCAATCCTATTTTTCGGTTTGGACCGGGCCTTGGCGGTTTTATCTTGATTCCGTTGTTCTGCTCGCTAGTTACTAGTAATGTAAACAATTATTTTCCAAATGAGGTAACTTCTTAGTTTAAAATTTTTGGCTCAGTCGTTTTTTTAAATTGGTTTAATCGAGTTTTAGATCTTATGGAACCGATAATAGCCCACTTCGGTTTTTATATTGTGGTCGTCTCTACGGTTCGGTATATACATCAGGCGCGTAGCCAGCGTGGGAGGGGGGTGATTCTCCCCGTAGCCTAAAAAATATATATAGAGAGAGCTCAGGCGCGTAGCTAGCGGGAGGGGTAGGAGATGTAATAATACTTTAAGCATATAAAATAATCTATTTGGGACCACGTATTATATGATGTACGAAAGCAAGTAAAATCTCTTTAGAGCCTGAGTGTTTAAAAATAGTATTCCCAATACGTAGGTCAAGGTTCCGACAAATACCCAGGAGTGGATCTCCCCCCCCCAGCATCCGAGTTATTATTTAAAGCTCCAGAATCTTCGTAATTTTTTAAACCTTCAACTTTAAAATTCTTAGAGTTTTGGAAATTTTTCAAGTACTCTGACATGACTAGCTTGAGAAGAAATGCCCTCTTTCTAGATAATTAGCTTGAGCTAAACGTTTACAATGTTGATAAAGTTACATTTTCATTTGAATTTAATATTATATATTCTACTATCAAAAGTTTCAAAATTTGAAGATTATCTATTCAGATCGTTATTAATGACTAAACACACACTCAATTTTGTCTGTCTGGACGAAAAATAATTGATTTCCATTGTAGTAAATCTTACAGAATTTAGTCAGTGTGTCTTTTAAATACAGTTATTTCAACATTCAAGATATAAAGGAGGACTGACCAAACTTTTTGCGACCTTGCGTTTAGCGAAATTATCTCAAGATTTCCACGCCCCCCCCATACCCCCCAATTTGCGGGCCTTCGAACGATGTGTTTACTACGTTGTTTATTTAGGATTCGACGTGAATAATAAAATAACAAACTCAAATGAAAAGGATATATGGTAAGTCACTGAAACTCGAGTAAATTTTTAATTTTTTTTATTAATTTTTTTTTTATTAAAAAATAATAAATATGCGATAGTTTGAATATTGGTGGAAATTTTTTTGTGAAAATTTTAACAATTCTATAATTTTACATTAAAAATGGAGTATATTGTTTAAAAATAAAAAGGCATGTGCTATATTGGATGCTGCTAAATTAGGACTATAATACTAGATAATCAAGCAATTTATTTGAATAAACACAATATGTAAACAATGATAATATAGATATATACAATTCAGGCGCGTATGCAGGAATTTGATCGGGGGGGGGGGGGGAGGTAATAAAATTTTTTAAGAAGCATAAATTTATTAAGACTAATAACTATTTCTAATACACAATTTTAAATTAATGTGAATTATAAAAAAATTATATGTAAAGAATCACTTAAATGACCCAAAAGAGAAATTTGAATTTTTTGAGCTTTAAAATTTATATATAAAGTATAAAAATTTTAAATGTTAGAAATATAAATTAATACACAAAAAGCTAAGCTTAGGGAATAATTGTATTTTGTATGTTATATATTTACAATGTAAAATCCAAGGGATTGAGCTAATTTTTCAATTATCTCATCCTTGCTTGTTGTCAAATGCCTATGAATATTCAAAAGATCCAAACCTTTCAATCTACTTTCAAAAGTTGTACTTCTTGGTATGTTTTTCAGACATGCAGGCCCGGCCCCCGGGCCGGACCGTATGGCCGGGCCCAAAATTTTTTTAAAAAAACACCCGGGCTGAGCTGAATTTTTAAAAAAACATCTAGGCCGGGCCTGAAATTTTTTTTAAAAAAATATCCGGGCCGGACTGTATATTTTAAAACAGCCTATATTTGAAATCGTTATTAGTAGCTATAAAAATAAAAAATAAATAAAATTTATTTTAAAAAAATCCGGGTCGGGCCTGAAAATTTTATTTTAAAAAAGGCCGGGCCGGGCCTGAAATTTGAGCTTAGCAGTAAAAATCTTTAAAAAAATCCGGGTCGTGCCCTGCAAATGATGCCTCTGCAGGGCTCTGTTGTTCTTCTTAAAAAAGAGAATGTTCTCTCATTAGTTTACTATTGGGAAGAGTTGCTAATATATATAAACCCTTTTAATACATTGGGAATATAATCTAAAATGTGTTTGAAATAATGCAGAGCATCCATAGCATTTTTTGGGACTGTATCAACCATAGTTAATCTTATAAACATAGTTATTCAGCTAATAAGGCATCATAAGATACTTTAACATCTTCATGATAAAAATCCAACAAATATTTTTGCTATCACCATCTGAAAAAGGTTGGGAAGGCTTTTATGGAAATAATATTTGCAGATTGATAAATCCTGCATAATGAATTAAAAACCATTCATTTATTTGGTTTATAAATGTATTTGTATCTAAGATATACTCTTCTACTGATCCTATATTAATGTTTTAACTATGAGTTGCCTTGCTGCAAGTCGAGTGAGACAAATATTAAACACATATAGCTCTGCTTTTGACTTAACAATAACATATAAAATATGAAATTCTTCATAAACATTAGCCCTAATTTCCTTGAATTCTAATAAAATGCTCTCCGCTATTCTCATCTTCTTAATCAAGTCATCATGTTTTTGAAAAGTAATACATAAAATAGTTGACATTCTAATGAGAAAAAAATTTTGGAATAAGCATTGAATTCAATAATTTTCTTGCTTTTAAGGAAAAATTTCTTTCAGGCCATTGTGATATGTCAGTAATAGCAAATAATCGGCTCTTCTAACTCCATAAAAGCTGTTACTGCTTGATGGCGGAGACTATCTCGTAGGACAAGATTGCAATTTCTTTCTCCCTGTTGGACAATTTCAGAATAATTATTATTTGACTAGAAATTTAAAAATGGTAGATAAATATTACGCCACTAAAAATTTGAAAATAATAAGATAATTGTTAATTGTGTTCAATTAACATAATTTATTGTATAGTTAATTTAAATTTGTGATCAGTTGAAATAATTTATTTTAATGTTAATTGAGTATTAATTTGAATATTTATTGAAATGTTTCATTATATATATACCAGTTGATTGTTATACATATTATTATTATTTGATTTTTTAAAAGTAGAAATAAAATTAATTTAAAACTCAAAATATAACTTGTTTCCTTCAATAATATTACGCCGAAAAACTTGAAATCGAAATTAATTGATAAACTTGGCGATGAATGTGATAATAAATGTAATTAAATATATATTTAATATGAGATAGGAATAAATATTAACAAATATAAATTAATATAGTACTGTGTAAATTTAATTCAAAACATTTCCATATTTATTAATTTATTTGAAAATAAAATTATTTGTTGTAAAAAGTTGTCAAAATAACATATTTATATATTCTTATCAATTTTTACAAGTTAAAATTTTTATTTACAAACGAATTAAAAAATATGGATATGTTTTAAAAAATCTGCACAACACTCTAAACAAAAATATTTTTGAAAAATATATCCGGCATCTGCATTTTTTGGCTTTGGGGGGGGGTGGATTTGTCCCCTTGCCCCCCCCCCCGCTGCGTACGCCAATGATACAATTTTAAGGAAAAGCAAAAATATTTCTTATGATTTAAAAACTTATTTAATTTATCTAAATTTAACATCTTTTTAATATTAAGAAAATAATAATATACACATATAATAGAGGAAGATTTTCTTCCAGTTCTGGGGATGCTCGACTTAAAATCCCTCCATAAACGCTCAATACGTTGATTATGGGCCGATCATTTGGGTCTATAAAGTTTCTGTTGTGATTGACCGAATAATGATCATATCCATTTTTATTAAGATTGTTATAACTTGAAAAAATATTAAATTCAAAAAATTTCCACCAATATCCACGCATATTAAAAATTTCCACGAGTTTCACTGACTTACCGATATATTTATAAAAAAGTAGATAAAGTGGACGAGAAAGATAAATATTGTCATTTATATGAATTTTTGAAGCAGATCAATACTATTCTTATGCAATTATTTCGTTAAATTTTATTTTAAATATACAAAAAATTGCTCCTATTTTTGGTCATCTTTCTAATATAAAATAAACTAGGGCGTCACCCTAGCTCGGTCTTCGGCCATGGAGAGTGTAGCGTGGGAATCACAAATGGCACCAGAAACAGCCATGAATCACAAATAGGGGTGAGTAAAATAGCGAAGGTACGGGATAGAATAGATAAATTTAAAAAAAAACTAATGTATTGCCATAATACTAATGAGTGTTTATCAATAGCCTCTTTATTGAGCAGGAAAAATGAAAAATAAAAATTATATAAATATTTATTAATATTTTTCAAAATAGTAAGTATATTGCGAACAAAGACGAATATTGTAAAAACCAATTCTCAAGTTATTTTTATAAGGTAAGTTTAAAATAAAATATTATTCGGAGAGACCAATTAGCAAACTTAAAAAAAAATAGGATCCATGTGAATAGATTAATGTTGTTAAACGATCAATTTAAGGCCTTTAAAAACGGCTAACTCAATATTTTATCTCGAATATTATTATGCAAGCCTAAAAATTTTGCTCATAGATACATAGGATTGAACATCTATTGGCAAAATCTCGATGCTTAGGCAATATTTTCCTGGCTATAATGTTGAGTAAGCCGTTTTAAAAATCGGCTCAAATTGAGCCGTTTAACAACACTAGAATAGATATAGAATAATTTAATTTAAATAATATCATTATCGTACCATGTTTTTTTGGAATAAATGTAAAATTCTATTTAAATAATAAAAATAAAAAAACACGTATCGTCTTTTTTATTGAGTTCTACAAAAAAAATTAGCAGAAATAAAAAGGAGTATTGTTAATAAAGCTAGGATCCTTAAGAATAGATATATAATTTTAATTAAATAAAAAAAATAGTAATATATATATCGTCTTTTTGGAATAGATATAACATCCTATTAAATATTATTTAAATAATAAAAATAATGTACTATGTATATTTTTTTGTGAGTTATACAAAATATTCATCAGAGATAAAAGGGCATATTGTTATGCCCGACAAAATGGATTTGCTTTAAAAATAAGTAGGATGCCTAAAATAGATATATAAGTTTATTTAAATTATAAAAAAAATATCATACTAAGTATTGTTCTTTCGTATTCGTATAAACCGGGATTAATCGGATTTAACCTCACGATACACCACATTGGTTGTAGTTCTTGTTTTATCATTTGTCATAATCTTTAGTTTATGAATTCAAATTTATATTATTTATACTATATATACTTAAAAATTTATTCTGAATCATAATGTAAAAATAATTTATATTTTAATAAAATATTCTTAATCTTAGCTTGCCATCATGTGTTTCCATCAAAAATATTTATTATTATTTGCTACCTTTGCATATTAAAAACTCAACCAAATAAAACTAAATTATTAAATAAATAATTGACTCTATTCTTTAATTTTCTATTTATCAGAAATGTAACTTGTATTTTATACATTATTAATGTTTTAAATTTAATCATATTGATTTTATTCATATATCCATCAGCTGATATCTAAAGGCATCATTTACCCTTAAATGTCCAATATAGCTGCAGCAAAATCTAAACTTATAGCTATTATAGGAGATGAAGTTGTAACTTTTATTAAAATATATTTAAATATATATTTAGGATACTTGTGTAGGATTCTTATTAGGTGGTATTGGTGAAATAAACAAGAGTCGTCAGACCAATTTTTTGGTTGTAAATAAAAGTAATTTAAATCTTTATAATCGTTTCTAAAATGTCATTTAAGATACAGCAATATCTGAATTGGAAGAAAATTTTAAATCATTTACAGCTCGTGAGGATATAGCTATTATATTAATTAGTCAAAATGTAATAATAAAATTAATATAATTATTTATTTTTCCTTCAAGATTGCAGAAATGATTAGGCATTTACTTGATAAGTATGATAAGATCATCCCTGTTGTTCTAGAAATACCATCAAAAGATATTCCATATGATCCAAACAAAGATTCAATTTTAAAAAGGGCAAGAGTAAATATAAAAATGTATATTCTGGTATTATGAAAATTTTTAGGGCTTTTTAGGAGGAGAAAAATAACAAACCCATTAAACTATATAAAATATATATGTATGTATTTTTTTTAAATTATATAAAGTATATATACAATTTAAAATTATAAATATAATGTATATATTTAAATATGTATATAAAATTATATTTATCCTTTATTTGTTAATTTATTTTATGAAATAAATTTTATATATAAGTTTTGAAAAAAGGAAAAGATAAAGTATATTCTTATCAATGATATTTTGAACAACAATTTTACATATTAATTAATTACTATGTAAATTTTTTTTAATTAAAATCATAAAATTTAATATATTAGCTCTCATTTATCAAATAAAAAAAAATTATTTAGACATTCCATTTAGAGCCAAACCCATATTCAAAAATATTTACTTTACATAAACATAGACTTGACCCATTTTATTGGGAGCTCACTTTAACTGTGAAAAGGCCCTTTCTCAGATAATTATCTGAGTTTTTTTACAAGGATGTCAACAAACAAAAGTGAATTAACCATGGTGTGGCTCTAAGAACTATTTATATAGATTGGTAATTTATAATTAATAATGGTAAATATTTATTCTTTAAATAAAATAGAAATTATTTATATTTCATTAATAATGGTAGATAATTATTTATTCTTAAAAATAAAATAGAAATTATTTATATTTCTTTAATAATGGTAGATATTTATTTTTCAAAATAAAATAGAAATTATTTATATTTCTTTAATAATGGTAGATATTTATTTTTCAAAATAAAATAGAAATTATTTATGTATATTGAGTTAAAATTTAACAAGCTTTGTATAAGAAATATATATTTATTTTGTTATATAAGAATTATGGATATAAAAAAATATTTTTCAAAAAGAAAAAAAATTTTTAAAAGAGCTGATTAAATAATATGATTTTGATAAATTTATTTCTTTTCCAATATCTTTAAATATTGAAATACTTTTACATTTTATAAAAGGGGGATTAGCTCATATGGTAGAGCGCTCGCTTAGCATGCGAGAGGTAAGGGGATCGATGCCCCTATCCTCCACATATTTTTTAAAATTTTTTGGATTTAGAAGAACATCAATTATATTTTTAAATTACCTTATATAAAAAATAAAAAAGAACAAAACATGAATATTTGAACTGCATTATTGTAGCTGTATAACGCCATCTAGCGAGATAATATACATAACATTATATTTGCATAGTTTTTTTTAATAAATGTATTGAAATTCAATTATATTCTTCGCTATAATGACCATCCCAATTATTCTATTTAAGCATTTATTTAATATTTAAGAACTTTTTAATTATGAAATAAAAAATTGATTCGGATTTTTAAATATATTGGCCAAATTTGAAGACTCTTCACACGACAACAAGATTATGTAATATATATTTTTTAATTCCTTCTACATTCACACTACTAATATCAAGATCATGTAAAATTATTATCTCAGTATTTCCAACCAACAGAATTTTTTATTTAATGTAGATATATAGGAATTTAAGATTAAAATCAGCGCTTCCCTTACCCTATAAAATAATTAAATATAATGCATATGCCCAATCCCTTTTTAATCAGCCCACGATAATACTTTTAGGATTATTATGCGTACAAGTACGTGCGTACCCACAAATGGATAAAGGGCTCCTCACCCCTTTTTACATTCAGTTTGATGGAAATGAGGAATACCTAGTATAGTACAACGAATTATAGAACGATGCTATCATGTATCTTACCACTCTAATCCAGGTTTAAACAATTTTCTAAACAGAAATATAATATATTAACGAAATTCGTGTCATTATTATGGATTGTCAATAGAATTTATCGCAACAGATCTTATACTTTCAAAAAACTATATAATAGATCAGGCGTTATAATTATCAGAGACCTTACGAGCCGAGCCGTATTAATTTTTAAAAAATAAACCAGGGCTCAGTGGCGTAGCTACGGGGGGGGAGAGTAGTTCGGGTTTGGATCCCCCCCCAGAGCAAATTTTTTTTTTAGATGTTCAAAAGACTCAAAGGTGACTTTGAATATTTATATTTTTCTGGTTTTGATGTTTGTGGAAGGATATTATAATACTATTGAAATTATTCTGGATAGTATTATTATAAAAATTTAGGCAATATAATATTTATAATTAAAGCAATATAATATTTATATTTTAAATAATCGCTTTTTATTTGTAAATTGATTTCTATAAAAGTATAAAAAATTGAAACGTATATCTAAAAGTTATGTCGAATGTGTTATTTTATTTTAAATTAGTGTTGTTAATGGCTCAATTTGAGCCGATATGGCTAACTCAATATATTAGCCTGAAAATTTTGCTCATGGATGATACAAAGGTTTGGACATTATTTCTGAATTCTCTAGGCTTAAGCAATATTTTTTGTCTAAAATATTGAGTTAGCTGTTTATAAAAATCGGCTCAAATCGAACTGTTTAATAACACTAATTAAAATGATCAATAATTCTAAGACTTTTATATTATAAGAAAAACAAATATGATTTTTAGATAAACCCGGCCAAAGGCCGAGCAAAAGGGCAGAAGGCCCGTTAAAGGGGGGTTTGGGGGCGAAGCTCCCCAAGCTTTTATATGTATGGAATTCCTTTAAGGAAAATTCCTAACTACGCCACTGGCTGGGCCAATGATAAAAAAATATTATATTTTTATAAATTTGGCGCAGAATAATATATCAAATTCTTTCACTCATTGTATTTCATATTTTCTATATTTCAAAGCTAATTATATCTCGTGTGTTGAATATGTTGATCGATGTTATTTTATTATTTATTTTGGCAATTGATTTATTTTATATTATATCAATTTATATTTAAATTTAATCGGTGATTTTATATTAACATTTTTATATACATCAATTTGTATTAGTTATTTTTTTTATTATTGTTTAAAAAAAAGATATATAAAGAGATAAAAAAATGTAATTTATTGAGGAAAATAAAAATGTTATATATCATATAATAAAATTTAAATTATGATTAAAAATAAAATGATAATCAAAAAAAAATGTGAAATATCTATCAAATAATAAATGTCAATCTACGTCTGAACTCGGGGTAAGTATTATCTAATTTGATCTTGATTTTGCAATGTACATTTATTCTATTTTATGCCTTTATCGATTATAATTCTCTTACGATGGATGCTTTGAACAATTCCACATATATGACTGAATTTGTCAAGCTGGATTTCCCCAAATTTAGTAGCGATGACAGCGCCTACATAGGGAAATTGCAGAATTTCTTCAACACCAGCAAGATCTCCAACGGAGAAAAGGCTGCTTTATTTCTCCGAAATCATCCTGATGACGAATTCAATAATATTGGGCCAATTAGCAATGAGGCAGACTTTCAGGACCCAATCGCCCTGCTTGGCAAATTCAAGTTACAACATCCATCGAAGACTGAGAACGCTAAACTTCTTTATTTTATGCTGCAACTCAAGGCAAAGATGAGACATTCTCGTCTTGGGTCAATCGTGTAGCACGACTCAATAAAGAATGTAAATTCGATGAATTATTGAGAAAGTGAGAGTATCTTCGAATTTCAAAGATGTCAGGAAAGCGGTCAAGAACTCTATGACCATAGAAGACATTTACAATCTAGGTCTAAAGGAAGACACCGCGGAGCCAAGTGGCATCAAGGTCGAGATGAAATTGTTTCATTTGAATGAATCACCTGGCGTACAAGAGGTTAATCACATGGGCAGAGTCAAAAATAGTTACGTAACATCAAAACCCATTCAGGACTCTCACGCACATGGTATATCTCTTATCAAGCAACCCCATTTCATCAATGACAATCGCCCCTCACAGCATTTCGATGAACGTTACGATTTACGCTGCGACTATTGCCACGACAAACGATTCAACGGACGCTATGACAACGTCCGTAAAACAAACGATTCAGACAACGACCGCGACGAACGATTCAACGGATGGCACAGCAAATTCCACGACAATCGTTTTGATCAAAGCCACGATAATTGTCACTATAACCGCAACCGTATCGATAATCGCAACAATAACTACGACGACGATCGATCCAACAATATCGGGTACAACGTCCATGGCAATCGCCACGACTCTCATTGTGACCATCATCAAAGCCCTGATCGACGGGATGACTGCTATAGAGGTGATAGCCGAACCAATTATTTCCGTCGGGGTCAGCACAGTCACAACCCTCAAAATATTAATGGTTTTCCGAAAAAGTCGTCGAGGCCCAACCAGTATAAAAATGACAATAATACTCACAATAGATCTTCTGATTACAAAGATCGTGATTGTCAATTGAATACGAACCAAGCTATGAACATCGAAGTAATTGATGATGACGACGACTCAAACACAGACCTTAAAGAATATAATCTGCAGAATTTGGAAGTGTACAATCTGGGGATCAAGGATACCATATATGATGCGTACAACATGACTGAGCATCAACAACATACCCACGTTGATGCAAGTTGACACCGGTACTAGGTACAGTATACTTCCGAAGCTGACAGCTTAGACTGTTGGCATAATAGCGATACGTAAGACGGATATTAAACTCAATGGTTATAACGCTAGCGCTATCAAGATATTAGGTCTTGCCAATGTGAACGTTAAGTATGAAGGAAACTCACATACACTGGAAGCCATTGTAGTGGATTGTGATAAGATCCTCCTGCTAGGGCGTATGTGGCTCCATACCTTCAACAACATTTTAAAAACGTTCATAGTGGATAATGTAGAGAATGATCTCGAGAAGATAATCTCGCCAACAAAAAAAAACCTCGAATCAACTTACTCCTACAAACCCAAAATAGTCAGACAAGAGAAAGTTCACTTGAAGCCCGATGCTGTACCTAAGATCATACCTCTAAGTAGAATTCCGTGCGCCAAGATCGATGCAACGACTCAGAAATTGGATTGCTGGCTGAAACACGACAAAATAAACCTTGCTCGAAAGGAATCTAGATGTCCGATGCCATGAGCGATCCGGTTTGGAAATTAGCTAGGGTTGTCTTTAATTTATCAAGCCATCGTTCGGTTTGAAAAGAAGACTGCACCATGAACATGGGTGGCGTATTGCGTGGTGATTATGAATGTCAATGACATTA